ATTAATTGGGGGGAAGGACAGGGGCAAGTAGCTTTGGGACCACTCACTTATGTTACCAGTGGCGACAACGCCATACTAGGACTCACCTGGGGCCTGTTATTGGCAGGTTTATCGCTGTTTCCATCCCACTGAACTACAACCGGCGACAAATCGACCTGCGGCAGTTGATCCTCATATCCACCACCTGGATATTTGCCTTTGCTGTAGCATCCCCAGTCATATTTGGCCTCAACAATGTCCCAAACCGGGACCCCAGCTTGTGTCAGCTGGAGGATGACAACTATATCGTGTACTCCTCCATCTGCTCCTTCTTCATCCCTTGCCCCGTCATGCTGGTGCTCTACTGCGCCATGTTCCAAGGACTCAAGCGTTGGGAAGAAGCCAGGAAAGCCAAGCTAAGGGGCAGCATCTATGGGGCCAACAGGAAGCTGTATCACCCATCAACCTTTATTGAGAGAGAGCAGACAGGACTGGAACCAGGGGAACGCAACCCTTACGCCCGCTCTGACCACCCTGGGGACTATGTGGTGAATAATGGGATCCAGACTGTCTCCTACCCACACCTCAAATACCCACACCCAGGACACAGTCGGAAGCGGGCCAAGATCAACGGCCGGGAGCGGAAGGCCATGCGGGTGCTGCCTGTCGTCGTTGGTGAGTAGCAGTCAGTGATGGTTGGCACAGGGTGGGAAACGCGGTGCATTGTCCTACAGCAGGGTTCAGTCTGGCAGGACTTGTTCAAACCTGGCAAAGTGAACACATGCTTTGCCTACTCCCCTACCAGGAGCCAGACTGCCAGGCATGGTGCTTGGGCAGCCCTGAGAACCGTGCTTTCTCCTTGCTGGAGAAGGTGAGGGTGAGATAAAAGCCACATCCTTCATGTGCCACCTCCCCAGTGCCATGTCTTTGGTCCTCCTCCCTCTCTGTTACATGTAGACTCATGTTTTAACACCCACCCACCCCTTGTTACTGTGGAACAGCCTGATTGCAGTTTTGAGACCAGCTGTACCCGTCCCTTATCATGAGAGGATGTTTATCCAGTGGACATCTCAGTATCCCTTTGAGCCAGAGTAGTGCCAACACACACCACCCTTGGGAGAGGGCAGATGTACGGTGTTCACAATCCAGCTTTTTCTTCAAAGTGAACCTGCAGCTCCTCATATCTTAAATGTGAATCCAAAACTAATACATAACTTAGACTTTTCTTCATCAACATTTAGGATTAGAAAGACATCCTAAACTTTTTGTCTGGGCGTAAGCCCAGCTCTACATGTCAGCACATCTGCTGTTTTTTTCCCCAAGCACTCCAAGCAGTCTCGATTCTTGTTTGGCCCAGGCTGCATTTGTTAAATTAAACCTTTTTTAACATTCACATCACTTTCTTTAATGTTCTTCTGACAGGTGCTTTCCTCTTCTGCTGGACACCGTTTTTTGTGGTCCACATTACCAGGGCTCTCTGCAAGTCCTGCACCATTCCCAGTCAAGTCACCAGCACTGTCACTTGGCTGGGTTACGTCAACAGCGCTCTCAACCCCATCATTTATACCGTTTTCAACGCAGAATTCAGGAACTTCTTCCGCAAAGTCTTGCACCTCTTCTGCTGAGCTCACCAGAAGTGGGGGGGAGAAGGAATGACCAGGCAATTTTTTTGTATAGTTCATTAAAGATCTATTTCTGCCTAAGGTCTGCTGTCTTTGTTGGGGAAGAGGGAAGGAGGAGTGACAGGGGCTAAAGGATGCTGGTTCCCAGCTCTTTGTAATAAGGAGTTACAGGTGAGTACCAGTGGATGCAGCTCAGATACTCTCCCCACTGGAAACTGCCGGTGTAGCCACTTTTTTAACACTTCGTGCTTGACATAAGCAGCAAGAGACACCACAAGACAGGAAGGATGGTTCTCAGAAGGGCTCTTGCTTTGGATTTAGGTGTGTGGTCTGGTTTGGGCTTCTCTTAGCTGTCACTAGAGAAATCTCAGGTGACGACTGTGGGGTAGCACTGCTCCATAATCCCATGGCTTGAAGTGCAGCGGCCTCTCCCAGCGCACTAGAAAGACGGGTCATCGCTCATCCCTCCCAGTGATGTCAGGCTGATAAGGAGACCCCTGTAAGAGTGCGTGCGGCTGTCTAGTAGCAATTTTAGGTTTACCCATCCAAAGGCATAATGTTATTGCTAGTTCTCCAGAATTTCATATCAAGCCATACGATACCTGCCAGGAACCATTTGCAGCCTGCAGGATAAAATCCTTTATACCTTTTGGTAAACCTGAGCACAGTGACACCAAGGGTGGCCAGAGGGAGCAGCTAATGCTCTCTGAGGCTTCTCTGAGGCTCAGGAGGGAAGAAAATGATTATTGCACAAAACAGCAATATTCTGAGTAATGATCTTTTGTATAGGGTTGTTGCTTTCCAAGGGGTAATTTGCTTAGAAATAAAAGGAAAAAAAGCACCGCAGGGAGGTCTTAAGCTTTTCTTTGACTAGGAATAGCAATTGCTCAATGAACTTATCATCAACAAATAAACATACTAAATTCCCACAGTGATTATATTGTAAATTTTTGAGTTCTGTACTTTGCCACTGCGTTGGGGCACAGCTGTCTCAGATACCAGAGCTCTGATGTGAAGCTCCCTGAGAGAGTTAAGTACAGATGAGTCATACCTACTATTTTTTACATTTAGGAAAGTTGCCCCGCTCTCTTTGGATTTTTTTTCCCTTAAAAGATGCAGTAAAGCCAAAATTCAGCCAAGTCTCAGCTATACTTGGCAACAAGGTATTTAATAAGGAGAGGGAGGACACTCTGTGTTTGTGCACGTTGCTGCTCAGTCACCGACACAAGCAGGAGACCTGGCAAGCTCGAGTACCTGTATCTAGGCTCACCTCTTCATGCAGCTGTACTTGTCCTTGAATCCATGCAGAGCTCTGCATCTCCAGCCAGCAGTACCGAGCAGGGACGGTTCTCTGTGGGGAACGGCAAGGTGAGCCAAAGGGGTGAAGCAACAGAAATATTTTCCAACTGAAAGCCGCGTTTGACATTGAAAGTACAGCTTTAGCACTCCGAAGGTGCCACTTCAGAGCCAACCTTCACTGCATACTAATGCGAGATGCTGCTGTCTTGCCCTTATTTATCTGAGGAGTGACTCGATCCACAGGTTCACTAGACTGCCACTTGGCAGCCTTCCCTGGGAACAGCACCTCTGCTCGCAGACAGCAGCGCTCGGGGGGTCAGACTGAAGCAGCAGCACTGTTTGCTGCCCTCCTTCCCCGGGCCAGCCCCACCGCAGCAGCCGGCAGCTGAACCCCCAGCTCACCGGTCTGGTGCGCACACAGACCCCCCACTGTGGCACCACTGTGCTTCGTGCCTGCTGGGGAGCGCTGCCGAGGCAGGTCGTGGAAAACAAACGAGCGGTGTAGCCCAGCGCCAGCGCGAGGCGTTCAACATTCTGCGCTGTTCCACTTAGAACGTTCATGGGCAACAGACGGAGGCAAGAAACCCTGCAATAAGCTGTATTACTGCCAGCTCAATTAAGACCGTCTTTTCAATTAACTAATTGTCTTTAAGCTGTAGAAAACAGGCAATCATCATTTAACTGTGTGAAAAGAAACTATTGCAAATACTGAAGTGTTACTCTGGGAAGCAGGAGCATGTGTTTTGCTACAGGAATCTAAGGAATGGCTTGTTCTTTCCTTCCCAGGAGTTTTACACAGGTAACTTCTGTTCTCATCCTCCTTGAGTTCATGCTTGGCTTTCCATTAGAGAATGGTTTCCTTCAGAGGAGGCCGGCAGGCTGCTGCCTTACCTTGGCTGCCGCCAGTTCCTCACCCTCGATGCTGCAGGCAAATCCTGCTGAGGGCACTTCTGAGGAGAGATCTCAGCAGTGCAGCAAATGCTGTAAGAGATGATAAACCAGCTTCCATCTCCTTGTAATGCAAGGAGCGCAACGTCACAAGACCTTTAAGATTCATGGAGGAAGGAATGGACTTGTTAGAAACCACTAGTGTCAGACTTCAGTATTTTCCATCATGTTTTTCTCTACTATTATTTTCCTGCAACTCTGGATAGAATTTTCTCCTTTTGACAGCATTTATGATGCTGGGTTGGGTCGCTGTGATTCAGAGGTGACCCCTCTTGGAATATATGCTAAACAATAACCCTCCTTGTCCACTAACACTAAATTGGAGTGAATAACCACGCAGCACCAGTAACCCCTCACAGTTGTTATGCCTGAGGAGATAAAAATCACTGGAGAGGGAGAGGTGTGCATGTCTGGTGAGACTCCTCCAGCCTGGGGCATTAATCTTCAAACACCAATAAGGGAGCCTGATTAACCTAAATTATTAAAGAAATACATTAATAATTCAATTATTTTCTTGTAGTGCACGAAGCAAATAACTTCCTAATGCTCACCACTTCTTTGATTAGTAGCTACTAAACGGCAGTGACAGGACAGCACTCTATTAATACACCCTCGCTTCGGGTTTGATCGGATCTGATTTTGGCCAGACGGCTGCTATGAGCTACGGCCGAGGTGTGCAGCAGGATGAGACCATGCTTCCCTGCTGCACAAACACGTCCCAGCCGGCCGCCGATGGAGATGGAGAGTAAAGACGCGCACGTGTACCCGCAGCTGCCTTGTAGCTGCAGTCACTTCCTGCGCTTATTAGTACGTTAAAGTGCTGCCACGGGAATTAAACAGTACTGCTGGGCACGCTCATGCTTTCACCACGTTTTATTTAACAACATGTTATTTTTCACTTATATTCAAGTGCAGAAGCTCCAATGTGTTCCAAATTTGCCCAGCACAGAGGGAACACAGGGAAAAAAAAAAAAGTCCTTCCGATGGCAAACTAAGAACTTGTACTGACTTTTTCAAGGCAATTAAATAAACCAATGAAGGTTCGTTTCTATTTCAAACAAGAGGTAGGGAGGCACAGGGAGAAGGAAACACTGGCAAATCTCATTGCAGCACCTGCTTTAGATCCATCTCAAGAGAGATGATGAGATCGCTCTAATCCACATGGTGGAGGTTCCAGTCTGGCAAAGTCAAAGCTTCCTTAAGCTGGAGGTGGCTTCCAGCTGCCCAGCTGCAGTCAGGTGGGGTTGTTTTTCTTCCAGATGAGGTTTTCACAGTCTCTGTATTATTCAAAATTTTGGAAAAGGATTGGGAGTAGGCAAATCCTGTCACAGTATCCAAAAGTCTTTCAAAAACAAGTTTGCTAGTGAGAAGCATGTGATTTGTAAAGGACAGACCATTCACGCCAGGTTGCCGATCCAGCCGGCTGCACCACGTTGTCTGTGAATGGTTAAAGAGGTAGGTGTGCTCAGACGGTGACTTTCTCCATTACGCTGT